GTGTGTGTGTGTGTGTGTGTGTGTGTGTGTGTGTGTGTGTATTGGGGGATACGCCGCAGTTTTTCCCGTTTAAGTTATAAACGACGCTGTCATTTTCACTGCGGTGTTTTGACACTTTGTGACAACTGAGCTCAGCTGTTCGCGCTACGTTGTATCTGAGAAATGAATGGCACTTGTTCTCAATCTTTGTTGCTGCCACGCTGTTGTCATGTCCTGCAGCCAAATACTCCCAGTTTCAGGAGCAAAAATCCCAACCAGTGTCTCTCAAAATGCCCAGCTTTTGCACACAGCTGGGCGTAACTGATAAAAATCACCGTAATGTGTTTCAAGTAACAACATGAAACTGTGCGCTTTATTTAGATCTTGGTCGTTGGATGTAGGTGTACAGGGGGATGTAAAAAGCGGTTATGTTTGGATTCACTCGGCAGTTGAATAAGTTCTGGAAACTGGCTCAATCAGTTGTAATGAAGCCCGTAAGACCAAAAACGCATCATTCGATTGATATCTTGCCATGACCAAAACGCAATATGACATCTAGTTCCATAATGCAGCGTCAATATCATATTGATTTAATGTGTCTCCAAACTCATGCTGGTGATTATTTATTTTATTGTATTGGTTTCGTCTTAGGGAGCATGTGCACAGCTTCAAAGCAATCTGCATCAATATATCAGAGGAACTCAAGCCCCAAAGACTCTGATCTTGGTGGAGAAAACGCAAGCGGGCGCACACACACAACACAAATGCCCTTTTACAATCTGTGACAAGAAAAGAAAACAAGCAGCCAGTGATTTAGTCGTCTGCGGGGGAACAATTTGCACTATGGCCCCCTTTTTTTCCACTGCTATAGATTTTTAATCGCTGTCCCGTAGCAGCCCCAGTGCTTGGTGTCTTGCAGCCAGAAGAGAAACTTTGTGATGCACCCCTCCACCTCCCCTGGTCTGTAGCCTGTTGTTATGGTAACAGCAGGCAGTGAAATGGCCTTTCACTAGAAAAAAATAAAAGCTCAGAGTCCCAACCCCCCTTCTCTCTCCCTCTGCTCCCTTCCTCTGGCCAGTAGCCCCACTTTCTCAGCCAAAGATCCTTTATCCACCAAAAAACTGCCAGCCAAAAGAGCCTGCAGCCTAGCAGGCTCCTCTCCTCACTGACAGGAGCGGTACACTGCTGCTCACTGATGGAGCACAGTGCAGTACCTGGCAATGTCTGGTTATTAGTCCAGACTGCTCACAACAGCACAGACCTTTCCCTTTATACATGTCTTAAGAAAATCAGGCCTTGAGACGGCGATAAGCAGCACGCAGCTTTATGTTTCACCTCTACCGTGAAATCCCAGCTCTGCTACAGTCGTATCTCCCTGTGAGTCTAGGTGGCTCCAGCAGAGTGAAAAATGCTTGGAATTTGCAAACCCAGGACTTTGGGCCTCAAGTTGTTTAGCTTTTTTTTTTTTCCTTTCCTTGGCCTGGTATTTACAGCTCAGTGTCTGCAGTCTGGGCCGAGGTTCACGAGTGTAACATGGATTTAGATTTGTGATGAGGTACCAGCTTGTTGAGCTAGCACTTGCATAATATACAGAGTACAGCAAATGCCATAATATCCTGATTATTAAAACTGTTGTTTAAATGGGCCTGATTATGCTTTTTCTCATCTTCTGTCATGCATATACTATTTAAATGCTGATAACATGGCACAAGTTTCAGAAGAGGTCTGTGAATGTGCAGCTCCACCCACCTACTGTTCAAACCTTCAACCAGATGAATGTTGAGATAAATGAGCATTAAAAAAATCGCTTTAATGTTCCTCTGTTTAGTGCAGGCATATAAGATGAAGGACTGGGGTTTCTGTAGTCTTAATGCCAGCTATGGATTACCTGCCTGACCTCACACTGTCACTAAGCTGTGGGGTAAATTCTCTTTACTTTGCTTTATGATTCTAGAACCATACTGTGCATGAGCATGGCAGAATCTGTCCTTAAATCAATGCAGTAATTGGTGGATCAGAGTTGGGTTCTGTGGATTATGATGGAGACAAAGATGAGGGACTGAGAATGGTCTGGTGAATTATGAAGGCGAGAGTCATTTACAGCTTTTGTGGCTCTTGTGCTGGCTGTCGGTGCAGCAGCCTACGTACTGTAGCAGCTTGTGTAAGTGCAAAGATTTCCCGCAGCTCTGAAGTGCCTGAAAATTGTCCTGTCTAGCTGAGTCGGGAGAAGTGAACCTGCTGTATTTGTACTAATGAAATGACGCCACCACGTCAAACCACCGGATGTGTTTGATAGACAACTGAGGTAAGCAGGCCCCGTTTAAGCCTGGCAAATTGCATCAGGATAGGAAGCAGGATGACAGAACAGTCTAAGCGAGTCTAACAGGACACATCTGTGACCGCAGCAGTGGCTGGCAGGGACAAGGCTGAGCGTCTGTGTTCAGTCACCGGAATTCGATCATGAATGCATTGAAAGAGCAGTCATCCAACACATACAACACTCACATTGTGTCTTTCTGTAATTTCAAATGGGTCGTGAACTTTGAAATTTGGATTAACTACAAGTGTGGATTGTTCTACAATCCACACTAGAATCAGAGATAAATATCTGTGTGTTTATTCTGACTTGGAAGTTCGAATATTAATAGAATCCATTGCTACTTTAAGGTGTTCATGATCGCCATAGCTATATACTTTAGGTTTATTTATATAGGCACTATTCACACTAACACTTTTCTCAAGGCACTTTATACTTCAAGGTAAAGATCCAACTAAATGAGAGAAAATCCCAACAATCTGATGATCCCACATGAGCAAGCACTTTGCGACTGCAGGAAGGAAGACCTCCCTGATAACAGGAAGAAACCCTCTGGTAGACCATGGGTTAAGAAGGGTGCGACTGGTTTTGGGGGAGGGGACAAGAGGAGAGAAAGATGGAGAGACCAAGACAAAAAACAAACTCTGATTTCCTAAAATAAAGGCTACGCGCTTTGCGAGCAAGTTCCATCCCCCCCCCCCCCCCGCATTTTCTTCAGCTTGTATACTGTTTAAAAAAAAAAAGTGCTTGTGTAATCTCGTCATGAGCCCAAAACCATCAGCTGCTGAGTCAACGTGTCAGTGCCTCAGCAAGATGTCCACCCAGCCTATGACTCACCAAATACCGTCAATGCTGCTTCATCACTTAAGATCTCCTGCCTTTTGTTACTGCGGTATTAACGTATTAATACGTTGTTTTTATTGTCTCATGTGTGCAGCGAAGATTGCTTAGAGGAGTCTGCAGTGTATCACTGGTTAGTATTTAAATGGATCACTGGAGACAGTAAATTGAAGCTGAAGTGGGTTTTTAGTCTGGCATATTCGACTAAGAATCAGCTGGGGGGGAGTGTTCTTACAGCGAGCCGGTCTCTCCACCCTGAATCGTACTGTAAAATGCCAGAGGCCTGTGTTACTGGAACTAGAATCAACATACCTTGCTACCTCTTGGCCATTGTTCTTCATTTCTCGCAGGAGGCACATACATCACTCTGACTTCTCTTATTTACAATGGTTTGCTCCCTCTCTTCGTTGCCAACAGGATATTGGTCAGTGTCTTGAGCTCCTCCTTTCACTCCCAACCTTATCTTTTCCTCCATTATCTTTATTGTAACTTCCCTTCCCTCTGCTTCCAGAGATAGTTTTGGCAGTCTTGAAGAGATGCAGCATATGGCTCCATTCCTCCCCCAGGGCTTTTCTGTGGCCTTTACAAGATGCCTTAAACAATGAAAATATTATTATTCTCATCCTTTTATTATTTAATCATTGGGACAATAAACATTAAAAAATGCCAACTGCATAATTAATTAATTAATTTATTCTCTGGCTTAAAGAAATTGTTCCACGGTTAAGCAGCACTTGAATGTTGATCTTTAATGAAATATTTGTCTCTTTATCATAAACTGCAAACATGCTTCAGTTAAAGTTGATTCTGTAATGTTGTGAAAGGGGAATTATGTTAATTTGCAGCTCCATATTTTTATTCTTGGACTTTCCTTGGACATTGGCACAACCCCAAAGGTGATCCTTTGCATGAAACAAGCTGCTTTAACTCCGTTTCTCTACTTTTAAAGCAGCTTTCTTATGATTGGCTGTCCCAAACAGAATGTATCTGGCTGTGGTTTGCGTTGCATTAACTGTTTAAGAATTACAGCCATTTTCATACATAGTGCCCAGTTTTCAGAGGCTCAATTTGTGCCTGATCAAGTGAGGTCAGTTTCCTCATTATTAGATGACAAATTAGGCAGACAAATGTTGAACTTTCATGTAGTTGCTTTTCACTGGAACTCTTAATATGAAGTCCAAAGAAATGTTGCTAAAACCAAAATAAGCCTATCAGAAACTGTTACGGCCCCTGGCCTTGGATGAAGTGAGGCTGCCTGCTTTATGCAAATTCGAGTGTGGCAACACGATTTGCTGCACAAAATTTTACGATTGGACATTGTTGATTTGTCCTGAAGTTTTACAATCTGGTACATTCTTAAAAAGAATGAATGCACTGACCAGCTCAAGAATTTCACAACATCTAACCAAGTCATGAGCACTCTCAAGCTGATGGAGGTACCATTGTTAAGATTTACAATCAAAACATGTCTTCATGAATGGAAATACAGGGTTTACAAAAAGGTGCAAAACACTGGTTACGCTTGAGAACATGAAAATGAAACCAAGATGAACTTGTACCAGAATAGTGGGAAGAGAAAAGTGTGGAGAATGAAGAGTCATACCTCATTTTCTATCAAACACGAGGATGGAGGCATTGTTATGGCATGGGCATGTATGGTTAGCAGTGGAACTGGGTTACTAGATGATGTGACTGCTGATAGAAACAGCAGGAGGAATTGTGAATTGTATAGGGATATACTCTCTGCTCACATTCATTCAAATGCAGAAAAACTGATTGGATGATACTTCATGGTGCAGATGGATAATGACCTGAAGCATATTGCAAAAGCAACCCAAGAGTTTCTCAAGGCAAAGAAATATGAAATTCTTCTTCAGTGACCAAGTCAGTCACTCGATCTCAACCCAGCAGAGCAGATTTTCAGTTGTCAAATACAAAACTGAAGGTAGAAAGATCCTCAAAGAAGAAGCAACTGAAGGTGGCTGCTGTAAAGGCCTGGCAGAGCATTTTAAGGGAAGAAATTGAATTTCGTGGTCTGCATCAGTTCTGTCTTTTGATTGGTCACAGGACTGTAGGTCTCGAAAACAACAACAAAATCTGCAAAAAAACTGCAAAAAACTAACAACTGTGTTTGGTAATAACTACATGCCCCCCCCCCCCAAAAAAAGTGACTAACCACTGTACACATGAAAATACTGATAAGCGTAGCCTATGCTAAAGCTAGCACCTGGTATAAGTGAAAATCTAAAAATATTTTGGATATAATTAATTAAGGATAATTCTATTTTTCTTTGGAAGCAGCCCCTCTGATCACCCCAGGCTGAACACTGCTGCATCCTTCCTGTTTTGGAGATGACATGATTTAAATGGCTCAGCGGTCATGATTTGTTTTCCTGCTCTATCAGCCAACTGCGAGATAGTACAGTCCTTGTGATGAGCATAAGGATTCCTTTCCGCTTGCCTCAGACTGCATAATGCAGTCAGTTCAGTCATCAGAGGGAAGAGTGCTTGTTTCTGTCTGTCCTCTCAGTTCAGTTAGTTTGACAATGTGTGCAGTAATTCCTCTATTCAACCAAACTGGACTTTTTCATGTTTGTTAGTTTTGAGGCAAATGTGTGTGTTGTTGTGTTGACTTGTTCTCATTAGGTTTGCTTTATTAAAATTTTCTAATGTGTTCTTGGTTTTAGTGAATCTCTTGGTTTTTTGTTTTTTTTTGGGTTTTTTTTTTAGTGGTAATTAAACTTTATTTACAGCTAGCTGCTTAAAATGATGATTAAATACACTGTCAAGGTCCAGTCGAGCTTTAATAAAATTAAGTATTAGAGATGTAATGATAAGTACAATGACAGCATTACTATTTATATCATAGGAAATTCTGGAAATTATTGTCAGCTTGTGTAAAATAAAGCTCTGTTTAGTTAACATCCAGCTGTGTGCCCACGCTTGTCCCCTGGCTCCATGTACCACCGACCAGACCTCCTGTATGGGAAAACGACCTTTAAGAGTATCCCTGGAAAACTTGAGCAGACCTGCTGCTATTTTAATCAAGTCCATGTTATGATCCATCGCGCACTACTTTCTCTTCCCCTAAAAAGCAAATGGCAGCTGCTCCCACATATATTTTCTCACCACATTTTAAGTTGTTGCAACAAAAGCATAGTATTAAAACAGGAATATTGTGCTTGTGGCTGAGTTTTGCTTTCACAGCCCCAATTCTGTAAAAGTCGGGATGCTGTGTAAAAATGAAAATAAAGAGAATGAAATGCAGTTCTGTTTTATAGCTTTATGTGTCACCTTATGCATATCTCTCACAAACTGGCTGCAGCTGTTCGCCTGTGAATGAGGATGGGCTCACTGACCAATAATTAATTTTTAAGTACTTTTATTACAAAATGTACTATACTGTGTATACTATGTATACTAAATATACATACAAAACGTGTGTCTGCCAACTGAATGCAGTTTTCTCTTATCTATGATACAGTCTATAATAATTAATGTACTACAGTGTATTTGCATTTATGTAGGCCTTTTCTAGTCGTACTGACCACTCAAAGTACTTTAAACTACAATTTCCAGTTAACTAACAGTGCTTACTAAAAAGTGTTGGGGGGTTTTTCAGGGGACAGGTTCCTGCTCATCTAGATGAAATGGGTAGCAAACAAACACACATATATACTACTAGCTACAGCTCTGTCATCTGGTATACTTCTGATATATCATTAGCTCCTACCCTTTTTGTTTTTGTGTATATGTGAAGACATGTCTGTGGTCATACTCTTTCTTTAAATGTGATTGCATCTGTGTTGTCATTTTTATAAACTGTTTAGCCATTTCTTGAAAATGTACTTGTATCTGTTTCCAGCTACTGACTAGCTTACTGACCGTTATATGATACTCCACCACTGTAAAATGGGGTAACATAATTAAGCTAAAGGTTCTCACTTTTATTTCCTCAAAACTGTTGTTTTGTTTTTTTTTTAGCTGCAGAACCTGGGCGTAAACCCAGCCAACATTGGGTTCAGCTATCTGACGATGGAGTCGGACAAGTTCATCTGCATCCGTGAGAAGGTGGGCGAGCAGAACCAGGTGGTGATTGTGGACATGTCGGATCCCACCAACCCAATCAGGAGACCGATTTCTGCCGACAGTGCCATCATGAACCCCGCCAGCAAAGTCATCGCCCTCAAAGGTATGATGATGACGACGCATATAGAAATGACACAACCCATTTAGGCAGCAGTGGCCAATAGATGAGAAATACTGTATTGTTCTGAGGCAAAAGAAAAAGTCAAAACTGTTGGCTTTTATTACTGGTGGCCCTATATTAAGCGCAAAGTATTTTATTATTGTTTAAAGTCCCAGAATGAAGTCTGCATGGCCTCTGCACTGTTTATTTGCTTCTAGTTTTAACAGATTTAGCCGTTTACTGGAAATGCTGTGGGAAAGTCGCAGCAAAGATTAATGCCTGTCAATGTTGTAAATATGCCGAGTGCACTCACATCTATTACCCAGTGTAGTAAATTGGTTGTGAAAATTGATCGCCTGTCACTGAAACTAACCCTTAGAGCACAAACACAAGCGCTGATCAGGATGATTTGCTTATAATGCTTCTCTCTCTCCCTCCTCCCCCTTCCTCCCTCCCTCCTCCTTCTAAGCACAGTATTCCCTGTTTGCCCCTTTCCTTATGGTCTATCTTTGTCTTCTCATTCTTACCTGATTGACACTTTGCTTTTTCTCCTTTGCTTTCTGTCATTTCTCAGACGGTGAGTTGCTTTCTGTCTGTCTACCCGTCTGGCACGCTGTTGTGATGATACACTGGCCATGTCTCTCTCATAAAAGCTATCCCCTGTATCCCTTTTAACTATGCACATCTATTTCGACCACTGATCAATCAAAACACAGACGGCTACAAGAAAGGCACCTCAGTATCACACGCACACCCACACTCCAGCCTAATCTTCTGGCAAATGCCCTACTTTTATGAGAATTGCACATGTGTTAGCATGACTTGTATGCTGGTAGATGTGTATGTGTGGTATGCATCATCAGATGTTATACAGTGAGAGGAGTCGGGGCACTCTTTGTGCACCTTTGCTCGCCTCTGTGAGCGTGTGCCAGCAGCCGTAATCAATGTTCAGATCTTTCCTTCCTGCACATAAGGGATGCCATTTATGTATCGTAAAGGCTCTGTGTTTGCAAGTTTGTACAGCAGCTCTAGTATTTACATGAGTCATGCATTACATCACCTGTTTGTTTTTCATTAAGTATTTTGGGTAAATGGAGGTTGTATCTGTGTTTAGTCAATTGTGACATTTTCAAAAACTGCCGTCTGCTTTCTGTAGCTGCGGGTCAGGTCACTCAGTAAAGAGTGGTGCTTCCCTGGCTTACGAACAATATCGAGCAGTTCAGATATAATTTTTATTTGCTCTTTATTTCTGACACGAGTTTTGAACACTCGTGTCAGAAATCTCCCTCGGTTCCCCATTACACTGGTGCTCACAGCACGGAACAGTAGTTACATTAAAGAAAATCATCAAGTCTTGGCTGAAACTAGGTCTTCGCCACTCGAAATAATCAAAGGAACAAGCTATTAAAACGTTTCCTCAATGAATAAATAGTTCCAATTAAAAGTAGCTCTATTTATTTTCTGACTATTTCGAGGCAGACGTGTTCATCTGCGGGTCTGTGTGTTACTCAGAACAGCTATTTAATTTGTTGTTTGGAGTTATTTGACGACTTCTTTCTTGCCTGTTTCATCTCACGTCTCTGTTTCTTTACCGACCCTCAGCTGCCAAGACGCTGCAGATCTTCAACATTGAGATGAAGAGTAAGATGAAGGCTCACACCATGTCAGAGGAGGTCATGTTCTGGAAGTGGATCTCTGTAAACACCGTGGCTTTGGTGACAGATACTGCCGTCTATCACTGGAGCATGGAGGGGGATTCCCAACCGACTAAAGTATTCGATCGGCACGCCAGTCTGGCCGGATGTCAGATCATTAACTACAGAACTGACGAACAACAGAAGTGGTTACTGCTGATAGGGATTTCTGCACAGGTATGAAAGCACAGATGATATAAACATTTTCTGTGAAAGGAATATTTATCTCTCTGATCCCTGTTTATAGCCTTATTGGACAAAAGATCACACAAAGAACACTTTATCTGAGGTCAACTTTTGTTCTCTTCACTGGGCTGGAAGGTTTTGGCTGTGAGCAGGTACACGCTGGAAAGCAAAAGAATTGTTTTTACCACACTAAGGTTTGAAACCTTTAGCTATTGTGCGACAGTGAATTAGCTTTAAAAAAAAATCTGCATTCCTAACCAATGACTGGATCATCTACTTTCTACAGGAACCAATAAACTTGGAACTTCATCACTTCCCAGATTTGTTTGCTCACTGAAGGGGAGGATAAAGAGATCAAGCTGTTATGCCATTGTATTATGCCAATAAGGGTGTATAATGTCATTTAAAAAAAAAACACAATTTAGTCCACGAACACATAAAAGACACATTCTGAGAACAGTGGCATGAAATTCTAACAATTAAGCTTCCCAGAAATTTCTGCTGTAACCAGCCTCGCAGCATTTTATCCTTCTCTTACACAAAGAGTCGGTCATGGTTTGCAGCTGGAAAAGGGTAGAGTGCCTATTCCAGGTCAGAGTTGCTGTCCCAAGTGAAGGAGTCTGCGTATCTCTGAGTCTTATTCACAAGTGAGGGGAGCAGGAGACTGACAGATGGATTGGTGATGAGGATGCTATTCCGGTCTGTTGTGGTAAACAGAGCTGAATGTAAAAGTGAAGCATTTACCAGTTGATCGTCCCTACCCTCAGCTATGGTCACAAGCTTTTGGTAATAACTGAAGAATACAAGAAATACGTTTTGTCTGAAGGATCAAGCTGAGGTGGTTCTGGTATCAGACTAGGATATTTCCTGTCCTCTGTTGGGCAAGGTGTTCTGGACATGTCATAGTGGGAGGAGATCAAAGAGTAGGACATGCTGCAAAGATGACATCTCTTTGCTCGCCTCAATGAGATGGAGGAGGCGGTTGGGGAGAGGGAGGTCTGGGCTTCTCTGCTTAGGTTGCTGCACCCTGTGACCTGCCCCTCAATAGGTGAAAGAAAAATGGATGGACAGATGTCTTTTTTGCTGACTTGCTGAATCTCAATAAGAAAATCAATACACCACTCTTTTTCTGTTTTTTCTAAAGGAGTCTGGATCTAGAGGACTATGTCAAAGTATGACAACATGCATACATATTTCAAAGTGAACTTGTTTTATATGTATATGTAAATCAAATAAGCAAACAGTTTGTTTGCCCACATCTAACCAAATGCACAGATAATACCTACCATTTGTTCATACACATACAAACACACTGCCTGAATTTTAAACCTGTATCTTTGATCCTTAATGACTTGAACATATCAATTTTTTCCCCCCACCCTTTTTTTTCCCTTTTTCCTTGTCCTCCAGCAAAACCGTGTGGTCGGAGCAATGCAGCTGTACTCCGTTGACAGGAAAGTGTCCCAGCCCATCGAGGGCCACGCTGCTGCCTTCGGGGAGTTCAAAGTGGAGGGAAATGCCAAACCTTCCACTCTCTTCTGTTTTGCTGTGCGCTCACAGGCTGGGGGAAAGGTGAAGGCCATTCGAATGTACCCATGATGCTATCTGTGTTTTTAGCTGCTGAGCAAACTGCTTTGAAGTGCCTTGAAAGAGTAATGTTTATGTTAGAATCCTATGAAATAACTTTTATGCGTCATGCCTTTTGGTTAAAATTGAAGTTCCTATATGGTAGCATCAGGAAAGTTTATTAATGTACAAATCCTCAACTGTGATGTTCTTTTTGGTCTCATTTGCTGTACTGTTGTCTTGGTTTACTTCTACCAGTTACACATCATCGAAGTTGGTCAGCCAGCTGCAGGAAACCAGCCATTTGCTAAGAAAGCTGTGGATGTGTTTTTCCCACCAGAGGCCCAGACAGACTTTCCTGTTGCTATGCAGGTAAAGAAAATGAGGCTTCTTCTACTGTACTCTGCTCACCACATTATGGGTCACTCCTGAATGTTTCTCTTTCTAATTATTCTCCTCAGATTGGTAGTAAGCATGGCGTAATATACTTGATCACAAAGTATGGTTACATTCACCTGTACGACCTGGAGTCTGGAGTGTGTATTTACATGAACCGAATCAGTGCTGAGACCATCTTTGTAACTGCTCCTCACGAAGCCACTTCGGGAATCATTGGTGTCAATAAGAAGGGACAGGTGAGAAGCAAACGGGCAGTGAGTGTGTGCAGAACAAATTCCCAAGTGAAATGTTTATTGACTGTAATGACTGTAATGTTTTGGCAAGCTATGCCTGGCAGACATTCTTAAGAAACTGGACTGTTAACTGGACACATTTCTTAAGTTTTTAGTTATTTTTACTGCGCAGTTCTTAATTATTATCTGTTCCTTTTTTATTATAGGTTTTGTCAGTATGTGTGGAAGAGGAGAACATTGTAAACTATGCCACCAACGTGCTGCAGAACCCTGATCTCGCCCTGAGGATAGCTGTCAGGTCAAACCTTGCTGGGGCAGAGGAGCTTTTTGCTAGGAAGTTCAACACTCTGTTTGCGCAGGGAAGTTACTCAGAGGCTGCGAAGGTTGCTGCATCAGCACCCAAGGTACGCCTGTCTCTGCTGCCATTTTGCCATTCTTGCCTATGCTAATATGAACCTTGCATTTGCACAAAATCAAATTGTCAAATATTTTTCTGTTGGTGCTTAAAACTATGACAGTTACACACACTGTGATTCAGCACTGAAAAACGAAACCCAAAAAAGAATCCCGTGTATGTTAATGTGAAAACACGGCAATAAACATGAAGTTCTCCTTCAAAACATTTCATGGAATCTGCTTTTGTTTTGTTTTTTACTCTACGACTAATAATTCCTTCATTCTTTGATGTCTTTCCTCGCCTCAGGGTATCCTGCGAACAGCAGAAACCATCCGCAAGTTTCAGAGCGTCCCGGCCCAGCCGGGTCAAGCCTCTCCACTGCTGCAGTACTTTGGTATTCTTCTGGACCAGGGCCAGCTCAACAAGTTTGAGTCTCTGGAGCTGTGCAGGCCTGTCTTGCAACAGGGCCGCAAGCAACTACTGGAGAAATGGCTGAAAGAGGACAAGGTATAACTGGAGGATTAAAGAAATGAGGCAGATTTGTAGATATACATTTATTTTATTTATTTTACAGTGACCAGTGTAAGTGAAGTAGCTTTCCTCCTCTTGTGTTGTAGCTGGAGTGCTCAGAGGAGCTGGGAGACCTGGTGAAGGCCTCTGACCCCACTCTTGCTCTTAGTGTGTACCTCAGAGCAAATGTCCCCAACAAGGTCATTCAGTGCTTTGCAGAGACTGGCCAATTCCAGAAGATAGTGTTGTATGCTAAAAAGGTAATCAGAAGGCTTATTGTGTTTCCATTTAAATTTTGAGCATTGCACAAATGGCAGGCATGAAGTATGTTTATAGTATTGCATTGATGCTTGAAAGTGCATTATTATCCTTCTGCGTTCGCGTAGGTGGGATATACCCCAGACTGGGTGTTTCTGCTGCGGAATGTGATGCGTGTGAATCCAGACCAGGGTCTGCAGTTTGCTCAGATGCTGGTCCAGGATGAGGAACCGCTGGCCAACATCAACCAGGTAAACACGCACAAACGTGAACGCCTCTCTCACTGGAGACATCCTGCTCGTGTGCTCCCTTTAAAATGCATGTGGCTGTTTAGCCTTATACATGCACGCTAACGCACAAAGTGCCCAGTGTGGGAGCCTACATATGTGTTATTCCAGATGTGGCAGCAATGCCAGGAATTCACTGAGTCAGTCACCCTCTCCTCCTTTTAAAGCCACATCATCACTCTGCTCTGTTCTAATCTCAAACAGGGAAGATGATGACTTTATGAAAAGTGATGGTGTTAAGGCGACCTTTGCTTTTCGGATGTGAGCGTTTCATGTTTAAGGACATCTGCAAAACAGAAACATCTGGCTGCCGGGCCTGTGGTGTTTAATAGTGTGCAACTCAAGCCTTTGCATGCTAACTCAAATCATTGTTCACAGATGGTCTGAAATAAAATTAAAAAAAAAAGAACTTTGTCTAGCTATTTCTGTTTTGACTGCTCTTTTCTCTCATGCTCTTTGTTAGATTGTTGATGTGTTTATGGAGGGTAGTCTGATCCAGCAGTGCACCTCTTTCCTATTGGATGCTTTAAAGAACAACCGCCCAGCAGAAGGTCACTTGCAGACACGTCTGCTTGAGATGAACTTAATACACGCCCCCCAGGTGAATGTTAATGTTCAGACTCTCCTGCAACCTTTTCTTTAATAATGTTAAATACAATGTGTTTGCTCATGTGTGCGTATGCGCTGTTTTAGGTAGCAGATGCAATCCTTGGGAACCAGATGTTCACGCACTATGACCGTGCCCATGTTGCTCAGCTGTGTGAGAAGGCAGGACTACTACAGAGAGCTCTTGAACACTACACTGACCTGTACGATATCAAACGAGCCGTGGTTCATACACATCTGCTCAACCCTGAGGTATGCCTGTAGAAGGGCAATGATGCCTGTATACTGCTCTCTTGGGAGCGGCTTCATTTTACTCTTTAATGTGTGAAAATGCTTCCTGAAATGACTCCTTTTTCCTCCGTGCTCAACATGTTGCTTTACTTTCTCCCTGTTTTTTCTTTTTTCTTTTTAGTGGCTGGTGAACTTTTTTGGCTCCTTGTCAGTTGAAGACTCTTTAGAGTGTTTAAGGGCCATGCTGTCGGCTAATATCAGGCAGAACCTGCAGCTGTGTGTCCAGGTAGCATCTAAATATCACGAACAGCTGGGAACTCAAGCGTTAGTGGAGCTTTTTGAATCCTTCAAGAGCTATGAAGGTAGGTGGAGTGGTTTTTCCTCATTTTCTGCAGGTTTGAATTCACACTAGATTAACTTAACCACCGTGTTGTTTCCCTCTCATATCTCTACAAGGCTTGTTTTACTTCCTTGGGTCGATTGTGAATTTCAGCCAAGAGCCCGATGTTCACTTTAAATACATCCAGGCTGCCTGTAAGACCGGCCAGATCAAAGAAGTGGAGAGAATCTGTAGAGAAAGCAACTGTTACGACCCAGACAGGGTTAAAAACTTTCTCAAGGTATAAAGATCCCCTAGCATATTTTTCTGATATTAGCATCTTCCAGAGTTAATTCATAATAAACCTCATGTTTCTTCTGCTTCTAGGAAGCAAAGCTAACGGACCAGCTTCCTCTTATCATTGTTTGTGATCGCTTTGACTTTGTCCACGACCTAGTTCTCTACCTTTACCGCAACAGTCTGCAGAAATACATTGAAATCTATGTACAGAAGGTAAGATCTACAGTTCGGGTGACTTTATACATAATCTGATTATTATCTAGTTATCGTTATCGAGCAGCATGATGCTTCTCTATTTTGAATCCTACCCACTTGCTTTCAGGTCAACCCCAGTCGTTTACCAGTGGTGATTGGAGGTTTATTGGATGTGGATTGTTCTGAGGATGTTATTAAGAACCTGATCATGGTGGTCAGAGGGCAGTTTTCCACTGATGAGCTGGTGGACGAGGTAGAGAAAAGGAACAGGTAAGACTAAAAGGTAAAACAATTTCCTGTCATCTCTTATAGCAGCTTCTGAAATGACCTGGCCTTTAATGCGCAGGTATCATGCTGGTTCATAAAAGCTGTTAAATCTAACTTCTGTAGGAATGAGTTTAAATGATAGATCAGATTGCAAGCCATGTTTGCGGTTTGCCTGAACCACTTAGTTATGTGTGTTTTCCCCTCAAGTCATTGAAGGAAAAGAACAAATACTAACTTGAAAATTGTTTCTTTTCCAATAAACCTTGAGGCGATCAATAGTAAAGAATCATGATCTCCTTAGCTGATGCCTATAAATCCTTAAGCATTCACAAACAGGAGTGGAATACATGAATGTAAATATACAGACATTTATCTTTGTGTTTGCTCAGTGCATGCTTGTTAGTTTAATGCATACATGAAGTTGAAATTAATGTTTTAATTTTAACACCAAAGGTGATTTCTAGAGTGGATTCTCTGAGGTTGTCATTATGTTTCATCGATACCTCAGTATCAACCATCAGAATAACTTTGTCTCATATAATGAAGCTATTTAGTCTGTATCAACAAAGGTGGAAGTGAGAAACCCTAAAACAGGACTCAATCGGCCTGCTGAGTGGACAATGCTGCCATCTAGTCTTCTGGCTGTGCATTACATCACAGGAAAAAGCTACATTGTAGCATCATCTTAGAAATGTAATGTGTGCTTTTACCAGTCCTTGCCATGAAATGAATTTTAAAAGCTTCTCCTAGGTATTATGTAATGAAGCTTTATATTAACGTACAGTTTCTGCTATCAGGTTGAAACTTCTGTTGCCATGGCTGGAGTCTCGTATCCATGAAGGATGTGAGGAGCCAGCTACCCATAACGCCCTGGCCAAGATCTACATTGACAGCAACAACACACCCGAGCGCTTCCTGAAGGAGAACCCGTTCTATGACAGCGCCGTGGTTGGACGCTACTGTGAGAAGAGAGACCCCCACCTGGCCTGTGTGGCTTATGAGAGAGGGCAGTGTGATCTAGACCTCATCAAAGTATGTAGATCACATTGTATGGCTTTAGTGTCATAGTTTAAATGAATATAATGAATGCATTTTAAACTATTTGTTAATGTCAGGTGTGCAATGAGAATTCATTATTTAAGAGTGAGGCTCGATATCTGGTACGGCGGAAAGATCCAGAGCTTTGGGCGACTGTGTTAGAAGAAAACAATCCTTTTAGAAGACAGCTCATCGACCAGGTACGGGATCCTCCACCTCTTCTTTTAAAGTAAAGCACGCAAACATGAATTGTATATATATTTTTTTCTTTCAACATCTATTTTCGATTTTCCTCCTCTCAGGTGGTGCAGACAGCTCTGTCAGAAACCCAAGACCCAGAGGAGGTGTCGGTCACAGTGAAAGCCTTCATGACTGCAGACCTGCCCAATGAGCTGATTGAACTTCTGGAGAAAATCGTACTTGATAATTCAGTCTTCAGTGAACACAGGTACTTCAGGCTCACAGCTTATTCATGGTGATCATTTACGTGCAACCATTTTTCTAACATTTTTTTTTTTTTTTTTTTTTTTTTTGCAGAAACCTACAGAACTTGCTTATTTTGACGGCCATCAAAGCAGATCGCACTCGTGTGATGGAGTACATTAACAGGCTAGACAACTACGATGCTCCGGATATTGCAAACATCGCTATCAGCAACGAGCTCTTTGAAGAGGCATTTGCTATTTTCAAGAAGTTTGATGTGAACACCTCAGCCATACAGGTAAAAACAAACCTAATCCTGCTAAAACTGCACTGATGCTGGAGGTCAAAGTTACAGTAAGCTAAAGTTAATAATCACAGAACCTTTTCTCTGTAAAAATGTACATTAATATGTGCATTTATTTTACTCAATTAAGTACAAATTTCCATTTCTTTTTGTAAAAGAATTTGTTGCGACATTTGTAGTTGGGGATGTTTATATTTCATGTGTCAGGGTATACCTCATCTCTCGACCTGTAAGAACTGGCATAATCTCCCGAGCCCTCCTACCAAAGTTAGAAAAACATTTAAGAAAATCAATGGATTAATGAATGAATTGATATTTACCTTTCCTAAATCCGGGCCATTAAAAGTACTTGTGGGTAAGCCCTTTAACTAAACTAACAAAGTCATTTGCCAATGATAGCAGGTTTCATCAGTTTCTCTTAATCACTGTGAATTTAGCACAATAGTGAAAACGAACGAGCCTTAAAAGTGCTAGTCCTATTGTTTTATCTCATGTTGGCTCATAGAATATAGCCATCTCTTGTTTATTTATTTTTTATTTTGTATCCCTCTAGGTACTGATAGAGCACATAGGGAACTTAGACCGTGCCTATGAGTTTGCGGAGCGCTGTAATGAGCCTGCAGTGTGGAGTCAGTTAGCAAGAGCCCAGCTGCACAGAGACCTGGTCAAGGAAGCCATTGATTCATACATAAAAGCCGTTGACCCGTCAGCATACATGGAGGTGGTCAACGCAGCCAGCAAGAACAGTACGTTTTTGATTTACAGGTAAAACATGCTAATGGTGTTTATCAGTCTTGGGTCTGAGCTGATCTGTAGTGTGTTGCTGTTTCTAGATAACTGGGAGGATTTGGTGAAGTTTCTACAGATGGCTCGGAAGAAAGCCAGAGAGTCTTACGTGGAAACGGAGCTGATCTTTGCTTTAGCTAAAACTAACCGTCTGGCTGAGCTGGAAGAATTTGTCAGCGGGCCCAACAATGCTCACATACAGCAGGTAAAAAAACAACAACAACAAAAGTTCCAGCTGTAGTGTTAAAGAGATGTGTAGCTGTTGCAGAATGTGCTTTTTGCTCTTTGCCAGAAAATGATTGCTATCTATATATTCATCATCTGATCTCTACCTCTCCAGGTGGGCGATAGATGTTATGAGGAGGGTATGTACGAAGCAGCCAAACTTTTGTATAACAATGTGTCCAACTTTGCTCGACTTGCATCCACATTAGTCCACCTGGGAGAGTACCAGGCAGCTGTGGACAGCGCCAGGAAAGCCAACAGCACACGGACATGGAAGGAGGTAACAGGCGCAAAAACACCTCTGCGCACCAAGAATTTGACTATGAAATAATCTGACTCTTAATCTATTATCATATTATAGGGTAAATTACCACCTTTAACTGGGTTTAAACTTAATTTAAATTTTGTGCACACACTATTAAAACAGATTGCACGTTACGGTGGCAGTCTGCTGCTATGTAGGAGTTAATATAGTAGGTGTGTTTAACTTTTAAGTGCCATTCACATCAGGATCTACGTCATAATTATTTCTGGAGTGTCTGATTCATCTGATTTGTCTCTCAGCAAAATAATAATGTATGGATACGTGAGCAGCCATGGATTGCACATGGCTGCTATAGCCTGTTGTTTGTGCTCATTAATTAATTATTTATTCTATTTAATAAGGAGCACGCAGTATAATGGATATCAGTGCCAGATTTGATGAAAATGGCTAATTTGCATCTGCACCCCAAACCAGGGAATTAAAAAAAGAGAAACATTGACACCTGATTATTGCATATTTGTATATAGCAATTTTATTTATATAGAACATTTCATTACATGCAAACTCCGCATGCTAAGTTTACAGTGTTTTAAGGCAGTGCATGTGTAGAAAGCACACATTTAAAAAAGAAAAAGGACAAAATGCAGAGAGAGACAAACCAAAAAAACCAGATTAAAAATACTGCCTTGGTTTGTTCCTTGTCTGAGGTGCATCACAGCTTCTCCAAACGTGCTGCACCCCTTTAGATTTTCTAGTACAATTACAGGTCTCCGCTTTGTCTGATTAATTTAAAAGACATGGGGAAACAATGCCGTAATTCTATACTGAGCATAACTGAATCAATATAGTGGCGAATTACAAGAGTAGTCATTTCAAGGCGCTTTATTTTTATGACATTACAGACAGAAGCCCCAATGATCACACGGTTCCTTACAAGCAAGAGAGATGGATGGTAAACAAAAACAGGACAAAACAAAATGTCAGTGACATGCAATAGTGGATATAAATATAAATAGTGCTTATAAATGAATGGGGAAAAAACAGAAAGGAAAGTGAGGGAGAGAAACGCACTATGGCTACCCAGCAGTCTGAGCCTGTCATAAACAAGATTTATAAAACTACTTAAGGGGCTGATTTAACAGCTTTTTTAAATTTTTACTTTATTATTAGTTTTGTTTTATTTCTGTGGATATAAGAATGAAATTGAGTGATTTTCTTGCTGCAGTTTTTATGTTGTTATTATTACAGCTTTTAATTCAGGTCACCTCAATATAGTCACTTCATGTAAAAAATGACAGATTCTTGATGATTAGAGGATTACACGAAAAGGTAGCAAAACACAGGATATGATGATATGAATGATAGAAGTGGTCCTCTGTTTATCGTTGGCTATCTCCAGTTTCATGCATTAATTTCTTTTCAGGTATGTTTTGCATGCGTGGACGGCGAAGAGTTTCGTCTGGCACAAATCTGCGGCCTTCACATTGTGATCCATGCTGACGAGCTGGAGGACCTTATCAGCTACTACCAGGACCGCGGGTACTTTGAGGAACTCATTGCTCTGCTCGAGGCTGCTTTGGGTCTGGAGCGGGCCCATATGGGTATGTTCACCGAGCTCGCCATCCTGTACTCAAAGTTCAAACCTCAGAAGATGAGGGAGCACCTGGAGCTCTTCTGGTCCAGAGTCAACATCCCAAAGGTAGAGTGTTTCTGTTACTATGTGTGCGCGTTTGCCCGTTTCAAAACTGTTCTTTCTTTTGTCAGATCAAAGAGGTTGCTTGTGTGCCATGAAATCTTCTGATTCATTACTCCGTGAACATTTCTGCTTCTCATCAGCGCCATGAAAAAGGAGGCAGACAGAAAATTAATTGACTTGTTTTTCTGTCTTTTACAGCTAGTTCTTTACTGACACATTTCTGGTGACTTGCAGCAATTAAACTTTCATTTACCAGCTTTATGCAACTGTTTGTCATCTTGCCCTCAAATAACCTTTTAAAAACTTTAAATATCTTTTTTTAAAAATGGTTAAAAGCATGAAATACTATTTTATTTTAATATTTTGCTAATTTCAAAAGATGTGTATTAATACATCTATATAAATGGTTAAAAAATAATAATGCTTTGAGGAAATAGATTGTTTTTTTTTATGTTGCTGCAGCAGTGTGTATTTTTTTTTTTATTTTGCTCAGAGTGTGTGTGTGTGTGTGTGTGTGTGTGTGTGTGTGTGTTTCCCCCCTCCCTCTCAAAAAGAGTAGGTTACATAAAAAATAAATCATCTATTTGACGTCAGCCTTTCAAAGCTTCAAGACATTTTACTTCAAATATATCAAATCTATTAGACCAGCCAAACAAATCTCTGACAGTAATGAATGTTTTCTGTCTACCAGGTTCTTCGTGCTGCAGAGCAGTCTCATTTATGGGCAGAGTTGGTTTTCCTTTACGATAAATACGAGGAGTATGACAACGCTGTCATCACTATGATGACTCATCCGACTGACGCATGGAAAGAAGGGCTTTTTAAAGATATTATTGCAAAGGTAAACACGGCTATTTTTAAGTGTTTATTATTTTCACAAACTGCTTACATGATCAATTGATCACTTATTGTGTTTTTTCTTTTATCCTTTAGGTTGCCAACGTGGAGCTCTACTATAAGTCTCTATCCTTCTATCTGGATTACAAACCCCTCCTACTGAATGATCTGCTGACCATTTTGTCTCCTCGGTTGGACCACAGCCGGACTGTCATCTTTTTTAGCAAGGTAACAACCAGCATGGCCAGCCTCACTTTTTAAAACATATATTAAATAAAATGTGTTTTTCTAAATAAACTGGACCCATTGCTGATATGGTGTGACATGGGTTGCTTTTTCTCACTTAGATGAACCAGCTGAAGTTGGTCAAGCCTTACTTGAGGTCTGTGCAGAATCACAATAACAAGTCTGTCAATGAAGCTCTTAACAACCTGCTTACAGAGGAGGAAGACTACCAGGTTCGCCAGCCCGCTCTGTGACTTATATTGATCACAACACATGATGTAAAACACAAAGAGCTCAAATATGTGACCTATTTGTTGCCATTTTTTGTCGCTTTTGTATTATTTACTGTGTTGTAAGCATTATTTACAATTTTTTTTTAGACATTCAAACAAGTATGGCAATCAAATGCTACAAAACTAAAAAAAAAAAGAGTAATATCTGTGTAAAGAAAGTCATAAGGATATAATCTATGGCCTGGCTGTAAATCGCAGGTGATTTTCTAGCCCCTCTCGTAGCCACTGATAGCAGCAGTTCCAATTTTAGACGTAGCAATTTTGTTTTGCTGTGATGACGCCTGCTTTTTCACACCAGCACCAGTCTCTTTATGTTGAAATCCACAGAGCCAGTTATGGATTGAGGATAGACATCATACTGGTGTAAATGGGTACAGGAAGCAGTGCCCAGGACGCTGTTACCTCTGGATCTCAAATGCAATGCATTTCTATCCGTGTATCATCCACAGGGATTGAGAGCCTCCATTGATGCTTATGACAACTTTGACACCATCGGGTTGGCTCAGAGGTTAGAAAAGCATGAACTGATTGAGTTCAGGCGTATTGCTGCTTATTTGTATAAGGGCAACAACCGCTGGAGACAGAGCGTGGAGCTTTGCAAGAAGGACAAGCTATACAAGGTAATGAAAAAATAATAGAAAAGCTCTTAAAAATACAGGAGACTTTTAAAAGGTTCCATTTCCTCAATGTACCTATAGATGGCAGTGTTTGTTTACTTCACAGGAATGATTCTTTTGGCTAATTTCTCACACTTGAAGATAAAGGATTTTATCTTTCACTCAGCCATGTGAATGAGATACATTTTTGTCTCTTCTAGGATGCCATGCTGTATGCAGCGGAGTCTAAGGATGCTGAGCTGGCAGAGACTTTACTCCAGTGGTTCCTAGAGGAGGGCAGGAAGGAGTGCTTTGCTGCCTGCCTGTTTGCCTCCTATGATCTCCTGCACCCTGACGTGGTGCTGGAGCTGGCCTGGAGGCACAACATAATGGACTTTGCCATGCCGTACTTTATCCAGGTCATGAGAGAGTACCTCACGAAGGTTGGTGCTGACAATCAACACCAGGAGTTTGTTTGATGTCAGCTTTACCACTAAAATAGATTTCACTATTGTGTAATTTTAAGAAGAATATGTGGTGTTGGTGATGTAATATGTCTGTGATTTCTGAGAAACAGGTCAAACATATATGGTGAGACAAGAAGGCAGAGACTAAGGCCTTCTTAAGTAATAATATTTAAAGGGACAGTTCAGCCCATTTTTTTCCCCTCTGGCCTGCAGTGCTGTTTGTCCATCTATATTAGCCGGTGTAGTTTGCTCAGCAGAAGATAATTTCCTATATGAAAGTGCTCACAACAAGATTTGTGCAATTATTTTGTGCAACTAGGTCAATACTTCTGGGAAAAGGGGTTAATGTCGAGTTTGTCGTATGAAATTTTTTTTGGCACTTTAAGAACCACAAGACACTAAAAGTGTCATTTAGTTCTGTTACATTCAAGCCTTCAAGCGACGATGTCACCACAGCTTGTGTTTCCAAAACCATGCAAATACCATCAAAACGATCTAGATGGATTTTAAAAAAAAAATCACTACAAGCCAGAGTGAAACATGTAAATCTTCATAATGACCTTTAAGTATATTTGCCAGTGCTACCTGCAGATATGTGAGGTCATGTCTTTGGGTTCTTTTCCAGGTTGATGAGTTTGCAGCGAAGGTGACGGTCTCTGGCCCTTTTTATTTAAAAAAATTCTCTTCTGTGTTCTGTCTGTCTGTCTGTTTTTCCTGTAACTTATCTCTTAGGTTTCTGATGTAGGAACCTAGCATGGACTGTAGATTGAATTTGGCCTAACTAGGTCTGGTCCTGGAGAACTGTAGTAGTGTGCAGGCTTTTGTTCCACTTGTGCCAGTATATGTTCAGATTAAGCAGGTTTTCCTCCAGTAAGCCCTAATCTTAGTTATTTATTTCTCTTGGTTTTTAGCCATTTGACACAAGTTCATGAGAAATAAAAATAAATAGACACACAACTACTTTTCAGTGAAAACATTAATAAAACATCTGGCTAAATGTGGCAGTAGTATATGAGTTAGACCAGGTGAAATGAACATTTTTAACCTCCTCTTATTCCAAAGTGTATTTTAGAGCCTAAATAATAATGACTTAGTGACATTGACGCAAATCTGATGCAACAGAGATGAAACATAACAATTTTTAATGGATAATGTTTACTGGTTAAAGTTAAGAGTGACTGTATTATAATTGAGTATATAGTCTGCATCTTAATTTTGGGTAAATATGCAGCAGTAAAGGGACGTTTGGTAGATTATAAAGTGTTTTCTAGCTGTCAAGTGCAAGAAGGTAAATGTAGTCTAAAACAAAAACTCTGGAGCCAAGGCCTGTACACTATATATATATATTTTTTCTCTTCTTCTTCAGCACCAGGATTAGCCTGTCCTGGCCTAACGGATACCTCTTACCTCTAACTTTTCTCTCTCTTGGGGCTGCATCTTGTGTCAAGTGGCATTTTTAAAGCCTTGAAACACTGTGATCTTTCCATCTGACGGAGGCTTTTTGAAAGCCCAGAAAAGAAGACAATCACAGAGAAAAAGCTGCTTTGGCTTTAGACTTGCTCGATGCACCCCCATGTTTCTAACTAAAGGTCACTTTGTTTTAGTTTTTATTGTTGAAATTAGTGCAGGGCTGCAAACAATAACCTCAAAGGTTATGTAGTGCCCTTTCCTCAGTTTGTGGAAGTCTTTTCAGTTAGTTTTAGTTTTTCAGTTTAGGTTTGTTGTAGGTAAACCTTTGGTACTGGTCAAACAGGTTGGGGTGGAATCTAACAGCCAGTTTGAGCAGCTAATCAGGTAGAGAAATCCCAACCCCGCCTCACATGAAGTAGTTCAGTACATACATGTTAAACAGGCAGCTTACCCCAGTGATACCATTGTATATGCAAATATCATGTTCTTTTCTCTACACCTTTGTCCCAACTTTTTAAGAAATGTTTATTTCTTTAATTCTGACTCAACATGACTCTGCGCTGACCGAGCTTCAATTATAAACCTTCAGTATTCAGCCTTCTCCACAGTTAAAGCACAGTGCCTGATTACTCCTTTGCACTTAGGGATTAGGATTAGTGCTACAAACAATTCACAATTACTGTACGCCTGGCAAGGATGAGCTTGACCTGCGAGCCCTTAGCTTGATTTTTAGGCCAGCAGTGATAAACACTCAGTCAGGAGGGTCTGCTTGCAGCTGTGATCAGGTGCACGCTGAAGTTGTGACTGCCACTTAATCTTGTAGCACTTTTTTAATGGCACAAAATTGGAATTTAGAAACGTACTGTTTAGCTTTTGCTCTCCTTGTATTCAAATATTTCTTTAACCTTAAACCTTACCTTAATTCTTCTTTTTAAAGGGTCAATTTTACACAAATCACTAAAATAAAATATCAAAATTAAATAAAATCAACCTGCTGGTGTCGAGTTGTGATGCAATTTTGGATTTGTTGCTGCTCTGTTGGATTGATGTTAATCTGCTTTTCTTCCTGGTGCATAAAGCACTTAGCTTTTAGAAAATTAGCACCTTTCCAAATTTGTCATTGTTCATTGTTATCTGGAATTCATAATATGCAGACCATGTAAAGACTTTTTTTTTTTTTTTAAGGCAAATTATTTACTGGTGAATATAAAAAATAAACAGCTTTGAGACACAGATGGTATTTGAATGAAAGATGGTATATTAAAGCTCAGAGCAGAACCTGTTGGATTGGGGTGATAGCAGGAGTGTCACAAGTCATTTGATGCTACTAGATGTGATAAAAGGTTAAATGGTTTAATTTAATGTGATTTGGGTAAACTGACCCTTAAATTTTCATTTAACATTTTTACTGCAAGCTTTATTAGAAATTCTCACCAAACCTGCATGGCATCTTCTCTCACCTTTAGCTGCACTGTGAAGTGGTGATTGTAGTTTTGTCTTTCACAGATGAAGATCATATATCTTCTGTAACTGCTTGTGTTTGTCAGTGTTTATTAATTTGATGTTGGATAAGCCTTAGTGTATTTTTAAAGCTCAGGTATTAGAGTGTATGTTGTAATTTGCAAAGTTTTTGCCAAAAATCTATGAAATATGAAAAACAGATTGAGCCAACTTGAGCTTATATACTTTCTGCACGATACCTAGAATCCATAAACTCAGACTTTCTTTCAACAGTAACCGTGTGAGTGATGTCTAATCAGTCCTCTCTTCTTTGTTGCCCTCAGGTGGACAAACTGGAGGAGGCCGAAAGCCAAAGAAAAACTGAAGAGGAAGTGACAGAACCTCAGCCGATGGTGTTCGGTAGGTTTACAGGCAGAACAGCTCACTGAGGGATGAACATTGTTGTTCCTGGATAAATGATAAATGATTTCCCCAAATGAAGCTTGGGCTATACTTTACAATGATATAATCTAGCTGATTAGTTTACCCATAATAAGTGGACACGCTTGCATTTTCTGTTATTATCTGAAACCAGCAGCAGCTGTTGCTGTGTAATTAGCTTTACACCGCCAAAAGAATTACAGGCTCATTGAGCAGCACATAAAGAAAACCTAAGTGGAGAAAAAAAAAGCCCCATAATTTTGTTTGATATAGAACAAACAAATTTAGCAGTTCAACAAAACAGTCCAGTCATGTGTACTTTCTTATAAAGACAGGGGAAAATTTTATTTTGTCTGTGTTTGTTTTTGTTTATGTGATCAGGTCAGCAGCTGATGTTGACTGCCTCTCCTTCTCCAGTGGCTACCCAGCCAGCGTATCCTGGCTACGGTTACCCTCCCGCTGCTGCCGCAGGCTACCCCGCTCAGCCCGCTTACGGCTTCAGCATGTAGATCCGCCAACTCGTCCTTCTCCTCCACCCCTCTTCCCTACACACATCCACCCACCCTGAACCACACTGCTGCTCTGGGTTTCAACTGGCTGACTGGTGGCGTACAGCCTCCTGAAATTTCGCTGGGCCTTCATTTCCCAGTGAGGCTCCACGTGAATTCACAGAAACTGCAATAGAAACTTTGTCTCTAGTTTTTCCACACCCACTTTAGAACGGTGGCATCAAGTCTGTCGGACCCCCCCCTGTTGTATTTTCCACTCAGACATTATAACTGCATCACTGATCTACACGGCATGAAGTCACCTCTCAGCTCCTTAGAGGTATTAGCATACTGAAGATAACATTAGTTGCGCCAAACCACTCTGTCATGTTGCTGTTCCATGTAGACTTTATTAACCATAGAGCAGCTTTTTTTTTCTGTTTTTTTTTTTTTTCTTTCTTTTTAATTTTAGCACTGAAGAAGAGACTTTACTGCAGAGTTCAGGGGTACCTTACTCCTAAAGCACTGTCACAGCCTTACACATTCTGATGAGGCGGCAAAACGGGCTCATTTGTTCATGTTTAATTTTGCAACTGTCTCATGTTCTGATTAGAAAGACAGTTACTGTGCAATAGTTTTATTTGTCCTTTCACAACAGGTACAAATTGTTTGCTGTATTATGGACTAAGAACACTTATTTTATGAGGTTACAGTCTCTGTGTGCGTATGTGTGTGTGGGAGTATGCGTGTAGCCTCTAAAGCCTTTGGGGGTTTCGTCACCAAAATCAAGACACACTCAATGATATCTCCACTCCTTTGCAGCTGCAAACCTTTTGCTGGGTCAGAGCGGTTGATCTCATCAGTCGACTTTTTGGAGTTTCGGTAACGGTTGTGGCAAAAAGGCTGAAAGAAAGCAGGTGAAAATGGAAAGGCGAAATGTAGACTGTGCATGTGCTGCCAAACTATAATGCTGCAACCAGGAGCACAATTTTCATGTTACACTCAAGTATATGAAGTATTACTAATGTTGAGTAAAAAAAAACAGTTATGTATGATGAAACTTTCTGATCCAACTAATGAAAAAAACAAAAGTGTGGCGAAGCTCCAACACACTCGAGATGAAAACAGGGGAATGTTAGCTCACGTCCTGGTGCCGGCTGGTTCAAGTGTCATTATTGTACTGAAAACAGTGTATAATTTAAATATATTGAAATACCTAACTAATCAAAGTATTATGGAATATGTATTGTCTATAGTGTGTTGTTGTAGTCTTAAAAAGCATAATGATTTTTGTAAGAAAATGACAAAATGCAAAAACAGCAGATGAATAAACGCCAAAATCTTGAGGTAAAGCTGCTCGAGGTAACAAAAGATGAGTTATTGACTTTATTTCATGTCAACGTCCCCATGTGATAAGCAGAGCTCTGGCCCGTCGTGGTCCCGGCACTGGATTTGTCAAAGATAAAATGCAAATAATCTGAGCTGCACACCAGTTGCTTATTTTATCTGCACAATTCATGCATACAGAAAGAGGAATAAAGTTTACACACTGTGTGTGTTCGTGCATTGTTATTTTACATCCGGAGACACTGGGTGTGAAACATTTCAGTTGAATCAAACAAAAATTAAGAGTTAGACTACGAAAAAAGTGGACGGATAGAATTAAAATGCATGAGTGGAAATGTGTTTACTTCTCATCAACACAGCACGCTCGCAGAGGCACTGGTCCGCGTGCTTGTTCACTGTAAATACCTTCAAAGTGTTTATTCTGAACTGCTTAAGTCACATCCGAAAAGGAGAAACTAACACAAAACATAAGTTTTAAAAAATACAAAAATGGACGAACCTACTCTGAAAGGTAACTTACACTAAACCGATTTAAAAATGGAGGAAAACAGGAAAACCTAACTGCTCTGGAGGGCTCTTCCCCTCCCTGTTTTGTTGTTTTGCAAAAGAGGGTATGGAGTTTCACCTTTAAACATGGTTTACATCCATTTTTTGCTACACTGTAATTTCCATCCTCCGCTGGACTCTGACATTTTGGTAACCGAGCTGTCATTTATCTGACTGATGGTTTCTGTCTGTGCCTCCGAGCCTCTTTGTTTGGAGAGGGTGTGGTTGGACTATCTGGACCTGTAACTAGCCGGCGAAGTCAAAAATGCTCACCATTTTCACAGCAGACAATAACAAAGGACTCATTTAGCCTATTTCTGTTTTCCTCGCTCAGCTGTAATCATCTGTTTGGAGGAAAACAGTGAGGCGAGGCTGTGCCCCGCCCTTTTTCGCTGTTGTGTGTGGGGGGGAAAGTGGCTGGTCTCTCACTTTGCGCTCTTACAGCTACAGCTACACACCCGGTGTAACGTTCACTGACCGCTCGGCGGATGTTGAAGTTCATTCGCTTTAATTGGACATTATAAAGTTCAGCAGGATACACGGACACAAGTCTTTATCCGCCCCTTTCTGTGCTTCCGGCTTGCTTTGCTCTCTTACCTACTACCGTCGTGACACGGGGTTTCCATGGTTACAGATAACATTTATTGGACATAGAAGATCCCAACTTCCTTGACAGTTCCAGTATCCGCCCACTGTCAACACAGAGATCCGCCGGAGTCTCCACCTGAATCCAGGAAAGCTCTTCAGACTGAAGGCGCCCAGGTGTTGTGCTACTATACTCTATTTGGAAAAAAAAAAAAAAAAACTAAAAGAAAAAGAAAAAACTGCGAGCCACACTAGACTGGAAGCTTTGTTTTTAGAATTTTACTGCGTTTAATCTGGTAACTATGCAGGGTAAAGGCACTTTTATCAGCCCCTTTCACAGACCGCGGTGTCTGGCGGCAGCGGCACCGGCTGGGAAAGCGAAATTAACTCATCCGGGAAAAGCGATTCTGGCAGGTAAGCGCATCACAATCCACACGGAAAAGTCTCACATGGACACAATGCCACTCTAGTGTTAGTCACAGTTCAAGAAAGCATCCACGCCTCTTTCTTTCTACTTGGCTGTGCTATGAAGCAAAACTTTGTCGAGTCAGAAGCCAGGGAGGTTTAAAAAAGTCAGCGAGCAAAGACGCGCTACAGTTTGCAGAAATGTCGCTATGTTGGGATTAGAAGAAGTTATTATGAGCCAAAGGAGTACCACACTGGTTTGTATTTCCGATAAAAGCTTTCCTTTTAAATGACACGTCACACGTTTTCTTGCATGGACGTGAGTAAGTGGAGTTGCACTAATGTGTCCCAGCTTCAGTTTAGGCAGTAGAGCGTAAGATTGAAGGAAACGATCGTTAAACAAAGTTATAGCCTGGATGTCCTTAAGCCACTCTAATCTGGTGCTGCTTGAATCTTCTACAAAAGGAGGATTTTATTCTTCGGTGTTTCTGTGCTATCAAATCCATCTGTGCTGTCATGGTTAGGTCAGTTTGACCCACTGCACTGACTTGATTTTTATCCTACTTATCTAAAGATCACCTTCACTGCACTTAACATAATGCGCAGTGGGCAGTCGTCCACGCACACTTGAGCCATTTAGAGTCTCGGGTTTGTGCAGTGGGCCATCAGAGCACAAGAGATGCCTTCAGGCTGTATGTTCTTCATTAAAGTACACCACTAGTCTTCTTGAAACTGTACATATTTACATTTTGCTCTTTTTGAGGGGGCGTTTTAAGCAGATCTCATCACCTGAGGTTTTGCACTCAGAAATTTACACATCTTTTTTACTTTTGTATGTATTCTGTCTTTTTTTTTTTTAACTCAATACTTGCAACTGACAATTATTTGAATGGTTTATCAATCAATGTTGAGTTTTTTGGGAGTTATGGCTTAACATCTAATTTAAAAAAGGCCATTAATGGTTGATTATCTCCAAACAACTGATTTCTAGATCAACTGGTGAACTTACTATTCAACAAGACTTGAGTTGTACCGAGTTGTCTCCTTTTGCCCCCTCCCCTCCAAAACCCCTCGACCTCCCTGTGTGATGATGATCAGGCTGCAGCAGCTCCGGCTGATGAAAAGCCTCTCTGAGGTGCTCCTGTATTAAGGCTACATGCTGATATTTGACAGCACTCACACTGATTTTTCAACCCTGAGCTGCTGCAGTTGTCGCATACTGAATGTTTTATAGTTCTGAAGGAATTCTTTTTGATTGTAGATTTAAAAGCACCAGCTGCTGTTTTTTAAAAATACTTTAAATAAATATAAATGTGATAAGTTACAACCTCAGTTCCAAAAATGTTGGTATATTGTGTAAATTGTAAATAAGAACAGAATGCAATGTTAATGTTGAACATAGAAAACACGTTAAAGCTTTAATATGAGACATCTTAGAATGTTGTGAAAAATATTAGCTCGTTTTGAACTTTATGTAAGCAACACACCTCCAAAAAGTTGTGACTGGCTACACAAAAGGCTGGTAAATTAAGTGAAAATACAAAGAAATAGCTGGAGAAACATTTTGCAGTAATTAACAACAGGCCAGTAAAAGACTGGATTAAAAAAAAGAGTATCTTAGAAATTGTGTAACAATTTCAGAGTAATATAAAACTGTGAAGAATTTGATTATCTCGTCATCTACAGTGCTTATTAGAAGATCCTGGGAATCTGGGGAAATCTGTGTGCAAGGGACGAGGGCGAAAATCTGAGAGTGCCTGTGATCTTCATGAGCTCAGGAACACTTCCAGAAATCATTATCTGTGAACACAAATGGCGCCTAAAGGTCTTTTGTGCAGAAGAAGAAGCTATATGTGATCATGGTCCACAAACGCTATGTCTTCTCTGGGGACAAGTGGAAAACTGTTCTCTGATTAGAGGAATCGATACCATTGAGAGGTATTAGCAATGGTATTGACACATCCACATATCCTTTCGTGGGGTCATACATACAAATTTCATCAAGACGATGCTAAATCTTGTACTGGATCTATTACAGTAGCATGGCTTCATATTAGAAGAGCCTGGGTGCTGAACTGCGGGCAGTCCTGCAGTCCAGACCTTTTATCAGTTTAGAACTTTTGGAGCATTTGGCACTGTCTCAACTTTTTTGGGGATGTGTTGCTGCCATCAAATTCAAAATGACCTTAGTTTCTTCTTAAAATGGTAAGTTTAAACCTTTTTTCATGTTCTACCGTGAATAAACTATGGGTTTAATATGGTAATGAGATTTGCAAACCATTGCATTTTGTATATTTTTTGTATATTACACAGCTTCCCAACTATTTTGGAACTGGGAACCTCTGATTCACATTTAAGGCTATTTAGGTATTTTTTCCTGTGCACATTAAAGCTAATTTATATCAGTTTGAATCGTGTCACTAGTCTGACTAATGAAGCTGTCAATTCAAAAACAGCCAAATAGTGTAAGATTTTGTGTTAGGGTGGGAGGTGGAGTAAGAGGAGGAGGAAAAAAATCTCATGTCCTGTCAGCTGCATAGAAATGGAAAAGAGGTCGTGGTGAGATCTTTGCCTTCCCCCATCACTCCTGTGCAGCCTGATTGACTGGATATGGCCCAGTGTTGTACCCTGCTCCCTTAGCTGTTTAGCTCAAGTCAGGCCTGTCTGTCTAGTTTTGCAACAGCCGCACAGTTGCATTCTGTCTCAACTTTGTGCATCCTGTGTAGAAACCAGCGACTTATCATTCTCTGTCTACAGTTTAGAAATGAAGGTGCATCAGAGCGTCACAGGATGACTCAGCAGTAGATATAAAATGTGTGATTCTGACCTGAGATACCAAAAGGAAAGATAATAGTTTAAACAGTCCTAACTAGGTTTTCTTTTTGGTTTTCTGTCATGCTAATGCTACTTTGTATCCTTCTTGGTTAACAGTATGTCTGTGTACACAGAGAAAGTCACTCAAATAAATGGCCAAAGGCTGAAAAGAAGACAAAGCAAGAAGCAGAAGGTCAAAGCTTAATGGCTTAGCGAGCCCGCATAGTCTGGTTGAGAGAAGCGGGGTATTTTTTATTTTTTTCTTTTCTTTGAGCTCTTTTCTGCTCCCATTGGTTTGTTCAGCTCCTCTCTCCACAGCCACTGGTGATGACTGAAGTTGAGACACGACAGGAGGGAGAATTTTATCTGTGTGAAGCCTCAGGGAGAGCGCGATCTAAATGCCTCTCTGGTCCTGGTTTACAGGCTGTTGTGATTTCATGTGCTGTTGTAGCTTTTATTAATAACCTTTTTGTACTGGAGAAGCAGACTCAGAGCCACAGTAAGAATGAGGAAGTTTTTTTTTCTTGCTTTCCTAGATAGATTGGGTATTTCTCTGATAGTTTTAATATCACATTTCCTCCTTTCCCCCTTTCTTCTCCTCTCCTCCATCACTCTCGCTCCAGCCTCGGGGCAGCCAGTTAAGGTTTCTGAGTGGCTGTCTGCTCTCAGGCTCAGAGGGCTCATCAAACTGTGGCTTACTCCCCGTTTCCTCGCGTCACAGGCGACACACAGTGTCCCCTCCCATCCATTGTGGTTGCTGCTTGCAGACCCTGAGTACCAGGAGGCGAGACAATAATTCACAGTGCACTCGTCTGTTCAGCCCCCAGCCACCCCACTGTAACAGCTTGCACTCCCGC